CTGAACTTTGGGAGAAAAATCTTCTTCTATCCATACCTTCGGGAAATCGAGGTTTTTCAGTTTGGGGGCGTTCCGTAAAACTTCTGTTTTGGTTTTGAAATTGAGGAACTTAATGATGATAGGCCTATGAAAGCCAGGACGGCGCTGACCAATACGATGAGCGCGTTCGATGTCGCCAACGTTAATCTTCAAGTGGGTAGAACAGAAATCTTTCACGATGGTTTCGGATTCGGCATATCCCTCCTGACCATTTTCAGGTATGCCTTTAATTATTAGGTTGTTACGCCTCATTCTGTTACTGATATCGTCTACGACATCAATGAGCTCATCATTAGTTTTTCTTATGTTAGCCTTAACTTCATGAACGGATGTCCTGACTGCGTCAAAATGATCCTGTATTTCTTGTACACTACTAATTTTGCTTTCAATAGCGGTGATCCGGGTGTTTAGATTAGCAACTTGTTCTTTCACATCGTTTATGTCTGTCGCGACTTCTTCACGAAACTCCCTAAGGAAGACTAGGACGTCGTCAATCTTGGGACCTGGATTGGTTTCAACGTCTCCCGCTTGGAGCAGTAGCAAGGCGAAGCATACTGATAGTAATCCTAGCGAAGGTCTAGGGCAAAGAGCGAGGATGAAGTGCGAGCTGTCACTGAAGGGAACGACACTGCTGTACCGGGGCTTATGGCGCACAGAGAACAGACCAATGCGTGCCCGGTGAGTGCACAGATCAACACCCATTTGAACAACAATCAAAGTACAGGAAGGGGGATAAGCAGCCACAAACAATTGCACTTAGCTAAGTCACAATAACAAGCACAAAATTCCTACCTATGATAGAAAAGTGCACAACTTAGCACATGCTGCGTGTGGCCGCAAATCCCGATGAATTCCCGTTGAGGCGATGCTTTTATAGGCGTAGGTGGCACTGTTTCTGATGGCGCAGGCGCAGACTCCGTGAGGTTATCTCCGCAGTCAGCAGGTTCTTTACGTCATGCAGATGCGCGGAAGAAGTTGATGACGGACGGCCAGGCAGCGTACAGCGGCAAGCACGAGTCAACCTATGATAGAAAAGTGCACAACTTAGCACATGCTGCGTGTGGCCGCAAATCCCGATGAATTCCCGTTGAGGCGATGCTTTTATAGGCGTAGGTGGCACTGTTTCTGATGGCGCAGGCGCAGACTCCGTGAGGTTATCTCCGCAGTCAGCAGGTTCTTTACGTCATGCAGATGCGCGGAAGAAGTTGATGACGGACGGCCAGGCAGCGTACAGCGGCAAGCACGAGTCAACCTATGATAGAAAAGTGCACAACTTAGCACATGCTGCGTGTGGCCGCAAATCCCGTTATCATTTTTCATGGAGAATTTCTGATCTTTAAGTACGCAAAGCGACCAGACACTAAAAAACAATGTTTTTATGTGCCTAACAGAAAGCACACCTGTACACATAGTTTCACACAACTGTAATAAATTCACTTATGCCTTTTCTCATACATGAATAGGAATAGATGATGACGCCCAAATTGCCAACGGCCAATGGAGCTAGCTAGCTAGATCTGTTTCTGACCAAAATTTGTGCGAATGAGAAAATTTTGAAGTTGGTAAGACATTTCGGAGCAGTGCGGCACAATTTCACAGTTTTCACTCAGCTTGAATGAAAATTAAAGAACTGAATCAAATTAGTGCACCTGTTGCACCCCTGAGAGACAAGGAAATCGCTGTAGAGTGTTGCACAAAAACGGTTCAGCACAAGGTTCGTGTGAACTAAGGACAAGAGTTGCAATGTGGGCTTGTTGATGATGCATTTGAAAGAATGTTTTGTAGCATGAGGCGAAATACGGAAACAGGAAGGAATAGACAGAGAGGATAGAGTGCAACAAGCAAGAACACGTTTATTCTCGAACTCAGACGACTTTTAAGCCATAATAGTTCGGCAGACAGATCAGCACGAGGGATCACTCCGATAATGTGCTATATTGTCATCTACCTCAAAGAGATAACCAATAAACCGCATATCACCATGTATGCAAGAAACCAATCTCCTTGGGTTACAATGCGATCGAAGGCTCACTGATACAAACATCGCCAAGAGCATCAACAAGTTCAGCTTCTACTTTTACGATCAAACGAGTCAACTCAGCTTTATGCCGATCAACAATGATTGTATTCTGGAACAAAGGCCGGCAACCACCTGCACGAACGCAAAGAGCGAGAAAACTTTCCGGCAGCACTCAATTCGATTTGTAACTGTGCTCTCTCAGTCGCTCATTCACACACCTACTCGTTTGACTGACATTATTTTCCCACAGGAGAACACAATAAGGTAAATAACAAACGATATGCAATGCACAAATTTTTGCGTATGCCTTTTTGTGCACACCATCTTTTCCTCTCGAGACGAATTTGTCATCACGCACAATTTCTTAAGTTTATCCTACACTGAAAATATTACCCTAATATTGTTCCCGAAACACCACCTTCTTTAGGTTATGTGACAGCTGGTGAACATACGAAATTATGGCCGTGCGTCTCGTGTCTATGGGTATATTGTCATAAACGATAGATTGGCATGAACTTCCCCAAATTTTTTCATCTCTTTTTTTTTTGCAACCAAAACTAAAACATTGTCTAGGTAGCCAGATTCTTACAAACGTGAGATCTGATTATGGAAGCCCTGCTTTATTACCTGCACAAATGACTTGCTCAATGCATTCTTGAGGCATGTCATCGCGATTCCTCTCTTGGTTAGTTTGAAATGACCCGAATGAAGTGGGAGTAAAGCTTTCTAAGCACGTGGATCATAGCACCAGCAGAACTGGTTGTCAGAACAATGAAGAATTAAATCTAAGAAGGTAATTCATCTGTCACTAGGCCGTTCCACTGTCACTTCGAGAAAAAGAGTTGAAAAGAATTCGGGTAAGTTCAAGCCAACCTATCGTTCAGGACAATATATTCGCAAAATTGAGACACACGATCATAATTCCATACGACCACAAGCTGCCACATAACCAATAGAAGGTGGTGTTTTGGGAACAATATTAGGGTAATATTTTCAGTGCCAGATAAACTTGGGAAATTGCGTGTGATGACAAATCCGTCTCGAGGGAAAAGGGTGGTGTGCACAAAAAGGCATACGCACAAATTTGTGGATTGCATATCGTTTGTTATTTATCTTATTCTGTTTTCTAGTGGGAAAAATTATGTCAGGCAGACCAGTAGGCATGTGAATGTGCGACTGAGAGAGCTCAGTTACAAATCGAATTGAGTGCTGCCGGAAAGTTTTCTCGCTCTTTGCGTTCGTGCATGTGGTTGCCGGCCTTTGTTTCAGAATACAATCATTGTTGGTCGGCATAAAGCTGAATTGACTCGTTTGATCGTCGAAGCCGAACTTATTGATGCTCCTGGCGATGTTTGTATCAGCAAGCCTTCGATCGCATTGTCACCCAAGGAGCTTGGTTTTTGGCGTACACGGTCATACGTCGTTTATCTGTAATGTTTCTTTGAGGTAGATGACATTGTAACACATTATCGGAGTGATCCCACGTGCTGATTTGTCTGCCAGACGATTATGGCTTAAAAGCGGTCCGAGTTCGAAAATGAACCTGTTGCTAGGAGTGCTCTGTCCTCTCCGTCTATTGTTTCCTGCTTCCGTATTTCGCCTCCTGCTACAAAAAGTTTATTCAATTGAATTAAAGAAGTTGTTCTGATCTAAAATAATACAAGCAATTTGTTCTGCTTCCTACTTAAAGGAGCACTGACACAACATTTCGAAGGCAAGATAATGAGTGGTATAGATTTATGTGGAAACATACACAATATCTCCTATAAAGTATGAAGGGCTATATAGCCTAAAACATAATTAAAATCAATTCTAATATGCCTACTATGCAACTGATTGAGATGCACAGCATTTCGCCACATACACTCAAATCAATGCAATATCAGTGTAAACAAACCTACATCCCGAGTTGGGTGGACAATGTGCTGCTTGTCACTTTTCATTGCCAGTTGTGTTTATCTAGCCACCAAACTGCTCCTACCTAGATTGGTGCTCTTTGAAACAAACTGCAACAGGGCACTCTAAAAAAATTTTCTGAATAAATAACCATCACACATTCACACAAACAAGGTTTCTAGTCGTGATAAACTGCAATTCTAAAAAAAAATGAAGAAACAGGGTGCAAAATCTTTGTGTCAGTGCTTCTTCAATGAAGAATTATTCCTTGGATACAGTTCAACACACGTGTTTGAATGTCTGTAGGAAAACAGAAAAACACATGTGGGCCAAACCCTCCCGAAGTTTAAACCTATGGCGAGGCAGTCTTCCGCCATGCAATCTTTCACTCACGCTTTCATGCAGATGTGTAGAAACACCAATCAATGCTAAGGGCACCAATAAAAAGTAGACGGAGAGTGCAAGGTAAGAAATAGGAACTTCATAAAGATAAATGGAACAGATGCATCCACCCGATGCAGCACTTGGAGGAGTACTGACATGATTTTGAAACATTGCAAGAGGGATGTTTTTGTTGCCTTGGTGAATGATGCTGACACTTTACATGAACCAGAGAGAGACAGCACATACAAAAGCATTCTACTTTGATTCTAACATTTTGGTCGCTAAGCATCAGCAAGCCAGTGCCACCACAATAGACATTATCCCATTGAGTCAACAGAGTTGCACTGAGTTTGTGAACTCTGTTTCCTGCATGTACCTAAATCACAGAAATGACTACTGGGATCATTGGACCATGATTAGCTGATTGTCGTTCATGTGCACCACATAAATTTGGCTCTAGTACGTCACGACTTGCTGTCTTCCTGTGACGTTACACTGTGATGACACATCACTACACCCCTTCAATCACAAACATGAAAAATGTTAAAGGAAGCAGTATAAAAATGTAATTGATGCATTCCCAGACATTACAATTCTCTCGTTTTTAGGATTCTCATTTAGAGCGAGGCTGAAAATACTGAAAACTTGAGTCAGTACTCCTTTAAGCGCTCTCCGCATGTTCCTGTCGCACGTGCTCGTGCAGCAGCTCGCCGTGCCTGAAGATGCGGTTGCAGAAGCGGCACTTGTAGGGACAAGCACCGTGCCGTTGTAGATGCAGCTTCATGTTACACTTCTGCGCAAACGTCTGGGGGCACAGCTCGCACTTGTAGGGCCGCTCGCCGGTGTGAATGCGGTAATGACGGTTCAGAGCTTGCTTGTAAATGCTCGAATAGCTGCACAGATGGCACTGATAGTGGCGCACGTTTGCTGTCAAGAATTTCTGGCTCGAGGATTGGCTACCACCCTGAACAACACCTGTAAGAAAGAAAGGTACGTCCATTGACATAGTGCCATCACAAGGCCAATCATAATAGACTGCCTATTTTCATAATTGCTAAATGCGCAAGGCCTCTTGCACGGATCCCCAGGCAGCTATGACACCTGACTACGTCCCATATCATTAACTTTCTACACCTGACCAGCGAGCCCTATACCACTAAGGTTTGCTTACTTCACTGATATGCACATTATCCGCTAGACATCTCAACTGGCCTGCACTCTTTTAGCTTTACCTTAACTATTTTGTTACCGCACGAAAATGATTATTTTTCATATGTATATGGAAGATCATTTTTGCCAGTTCGAAAAGTACTCCAGGATGCATTGCAGCATATCAAATTTTGCACAATGAAATGCTCTTTCCAAGAAATATATGTTGTAATGTAACAAAAATGCTTTGAAATGAATAAAAATGTAAAAATTGTGTAATTTTTGGTTCCCAACTGGGAAACAATGCAATAAAAACACTATATGTACAAAAATATTCATAGCAAAGAAAATTCAGAATATACATTCTGAAGAAAAATGACCCAGGAACAGTATAAAATATAATAAATGTTGTACAAAAGGTTTCTATTTACATAGACAAACAAAATCAGAACTGAGGTGAGCCATGAGGTAAGGCGCTGCCTGATTTTTTTTTGTCAGATACAAGTGAACTCGTACACATTTCTCCGTTAATTTTTGTTTTCTTGGGATAAGAGCCACCAGGTGTTCTAATATAGATGAATGCCCCTGATGTGAATGATTGCTCTATAAATCAGATGTGTAATGCACTTCGCTATTTCGTACAGCGTCACCTCTTTCCATGAGCCACTTCACTCTGCTCAGTGTGACAGCATGCCTATAGTTTATGCATCCAAGCATATTTCTTAGCAATTTTCACATCATATTACAAAAAGAACAATATCCTACGCAGTTTTAATACATTTCGAGCTCCTCTGCAGTCAGGGCCAAAATGGCCTTCGGGACCTTTCTTGTCGTTAGGAGAAGCTCTGCAGCTGGTGACAACCAACTGCACCCCAGCAAAGTGTGGACCTCGCACGTAACCAGAGTAGCTATAAGATTGTCCACAAAAATCAGCAGCTACGCACTTGCAGCGGAGGAGACAATTTGAGGCCATAAACAAAGCAAACCCATGAACGGCTGTGGATGTCTCAGACTGACACAAAACAATGTCTCCATAAAACTTGAAGCTGTGTTGCCGTCTTCCTCGAAATCTAAGCTCGTCCTCACTCAATTCAGGTGGGGTTGCAAGACAGTTTCAAGCGGTAAATGTGTTCTGCAGCGCTTGTGCGCACCCCCATGCGTGCGTGACAGCTACGCCACATGAGCTACTAGTGACGCTATATGCAACGCTGTGTCTGATGTAACAAGGAAAACTAAATCTGCTGGAACAGGCTGAAACGGCCATTTCGACACTTTAAACATGCGGCAAACCATCAGAAATATTTTTTGTAGAATAAATTATCTTGATTTTTACCAACAGCTGTATATAAAATAGCTGGCATAAATTTCTGGCACTTATTACTGCTAAGCATAAGCAAATTGTGAAGCTGACACTGTAATATGATATTTGGCTTGCAAAGATTCCTTTCATTACAAAATTTCAATGTTACTACAATATAATCACGAGGGGCACGCACTTTTGTCAAGTTTGCCAGCCTTGCACACTTTTCCAACTATATGCACACATTGGTTCGCGCAAAGATTCGTCGAAAATCATCATATTGCCCAAACGGGCAAATTCAAATTGATTTTGAAAGTTCAGTAGCTGGATTAACTACTAGAAAGTGCTGGGTGCATGAGAAACAATTTTAACATCGACGATTTAATGGGTCCATCACCGGCGATCGATTTGAATAGTTGTGATAATGAAAGAGTCTCTCCATGCGTATCAACTAGAAAAGTCCATTTTTTCTTTATCAAGTCTTCCTCAAAAACTTGATATGCTAATACTGGCAATTCTGTTTTTGCAGAAAACAACAATAAAGGATAGACAAGGGTGAACACACTAATATCTAGAATTCTAGGTGACATCCAAGAATTGCTAAAATGATTACATTGAAATACATTAAAAAAATAAAACTTATAAAAAGTTTTCTCTACATCACAATCCTCATCAAAACCTGCTACCTTGTTCACTGCCATAGGACACACGAAATACCAGACAGTATAATAAATTTAGTACAGTATAATGAAAGATTAAAATAGCATTCAACCAGTCAGATTTAGGCAGCTGATGCTTATATACTGTTCATTCAGTGTCTAGTATAAAAAGCATACAGCATTGGATGCACCTCGATAGCATTGTGAAATTGCGGAGCAGACATTAAACTTGCGCTGAAAACCAAGCACAGAATGGGAAGAAGTATTAAAACATAAACTGCGATACAAGTGACCAGAACCAATAGGAACGAGGCAGGCACCTGCAGTACAACCACCGTTAGCAAAGCAACCAGACTTTACTGGCGATGAGTAACACACATGAAAATTGGCATCACATTGTCAAATTGATAACTGTGAAAAAAAGAAACAGATATCAGCATTTGAAAGGGTAACTTCCTATATTTTGACAACAAATATCAACAATAATAAAAATACAAGGCAAAATTAAAATGTGCAAAGTACACTCCACAGGCAGTAAAAATGGTTGGCAAAACAGCCTCGTGCTTATACTTAAGAACACTTTAATCAGAGACAGCATTACCTTTATTACGGTAATGATACAATACAAAAGACACTCTCGATATCGATATCTCGAATCGATATCCTTCACAAAAAGTACACTTGTATGCAAAACCTTTACATCACTATGCAATAGACAGTCATGGGCAAACAAACAAAAAATCACGGAGAAGAATAGCTTTCATCGCAGTAACTCAACAATCGTATCTCACTCTGCCAACTGCCAGAGATGGTTTAAACTCCAGGATAAACTCCAGGCATGCGAGCATAAATTACTTAGCATAAAAATTGAAAAAGTTATTCAATAGACAGTAAAGCTATTCAACTTCAACTATTGCTGTGAACACAACTGCCGCAAAAAGTCTTGCTAGCTTTCACAGCCTTGCCCCTAATGCTTGAAACAGACTACAGGAAGCTGTCTAGGGCTTGATGAACGAACACACCCTGCGGAAAGCAAACACTGCTACGAACAGCTCAGCCAAAGTCTGCTGCTGTGCGCAGCAAGGACAGTTTACAAGCAGAGTGCAAAGTAGTCATTTTTTCGGGCACTCTTTTTCTACACAGAGGCCTCTGTTCACTCTCTTCAGAGATACCTGTTGTGACGGCAGATAGCATGCCAACATGAATCAAACGCGGCTATTGGGTGGGATGTGCTTCTCGCTACGAAACCACACTCCTAACATGACAGCCACACACAACGGGAGAGAGGTGCACACTAATCTAGCACCATGTCCAGCCATCACACTCTAGACTAGCTAAAGCCTTGTCATTATCTTTCTCTCCTAGTGCCAACACTATAACAGAGTTGCTTTGTTGACACTTTCTGGGAACGTGAAATAGCATGAATCTATGGATTCGCAATGCACACTAACCGGAGCACAACAATGCACATTTCTGAGAACGCTTCCCCCATGCCGGTTGTAGTGTGATTACATCGCCGAGGAGTGAAGAGGCCTTAGTTTAGTCTAAGGGTCCAGCGCACTCATTCGGACACAAGAAGGAAGAAAACACTTGTGACAAATCCCTGTACCAGAGAATTTGTGGCAACAAACTGATGTCGATCATTGACTACCCTTTTTTTAATATTCTTGGATTACATCCCATGATGGCATCTGATGTTCAGGCCATGGAAGAGAACAATATGCGCACTCTTCCTCAGTCCCTACCTTTCGGAACGTAACAAATAAACTAGTCTGTTTTCCTTCGGACTAGCTTAGCAGGGTGGCAGCGAGAGTGCACAAGAATAACATAACTGCATCAATGGTCACTGTGGCTTTATAGGAATCGACAGAAGCACACTGGTGTGCCTACAAGCATGTGGGGCAATTCTATAAGAGATCAACACGTGTTTAAAAAGTGATATCTATGATCTCGCTACTATTTGATAGTTTACAGGTACATAGCTCGGCTGCCATAAAATGAATTGCACTTTTCAAATATAAGCATAATTTAAAAAGAAACTTCTTCCCTAAGGAGATAAAAACCTTTCAATTATAGCAATGTTATTAAAAAGTGCCCTTAATACAAACTTATTTTGAAAAAGCATGGCCGATCCCTCTATCATAAATATCGGTATAAAACGAACATGAAAGAGAAGGTGCCTCCATAGAAATAGTGCTTATTGTTTAGCAATATAAGAGAGCTTGTACAATTCTTTTAGACTTTAGCAGCTATAGCACACTTTGACCAGGACAGAGCTATGTTAACACCGAGTCGCACGTCTCCATCTTGACAACTAACGCCCATGATTATCATTTAACGGTTGCAATTCCGAACTTTTCAACATATAACTAAACACAGTGTACCATTAGTCCACGCAAAGATGTCATCAACAAGCACACGCTAAACACTGCTACTCGGTATGCGCATCTTCAAATTCTCGTTGGTCAAAGAGAAACAGCACGGTGTGTGCTCCTGACTCCATCTTGACAAGTAACGCCCACGATTATCATTCAACGGTTGCGATTCCGAACTTTTCAACATATAACTAAACACAGTGTACCATTAGTCCACGCAAAGATGTCATCAACAAGCACACACTAAACACTGCTACTCGGTATGCGCATCTTCGAATTCTCGTTGGTCAAAGAGAAACAGCACGGTGTGCGCCAACGTTCACACATACTGCACTTCAGCAACGCGAGCCGCGAGGTTCGTAAAATGAGCCACAAACGTGCACCAGCGTTCCGTGTCCTGCTAGCCTCAGTGTCATTCCACCAATACACAACATTCGCCTGTCGACACCGTTAGTACACGTGGACGGTGCACAACTTCAACAAGCTGCCACG